GAGATAAATGATTAAGGTATACTACTAGTACTACAACTGCGCCTACTGATAAAACTACAAGAGACAAACTGATGATTTTGATGACAATAATAATCATAACAGTTGTACTGATGAAATTAATGATAATGACGAAGATAATAACAATCATAATTAGGGTTGTAATTACACTTATAAGGATAATAGCAGTATGGGTAAAGACGCTGGTACTTACATTGATAACGTTAATGGTGATAATAGTGGGAACAGCAACGGTGATGATAAAATATAGCAACAAGGCCGACAACAATAATCATAATTAGGATAAGATAAGATAAGTAGTTAGGATAAGATAAAAACCATCGTCAATATCACCATTATTATCACCATCAGTACCATTACATTTTTAGGCTATTTATATCCTTCCTTGTTACAATTTCCTCGTGGAGGCTTGACAGGTAATCTATTGCGCATGTCAACAGTCTCTTTTTTCCCCGCTTCCCTTATGTCCTTCGTTTAGCTGTCATTTTTTTCACAGTACGGTTAGTTTATGCCAAGTGTGTGGGTTGGTATGTGTTGCGTCTTGCCAGTACTCGCGCGCGCACCTGCTGGGTTCTGTGCCTAAAGTACCGTACATTTTGTGTGTTTATAGAGGCTTGTATGCGCTTGTTTTGCTTAACGGCAAACCCTGACGGACAAGGCGTTGAAAGAGAGAGAGGGAGAGAGAGATAGATAGGTAGCGAGAGAGAAAGAGAGAGAGAGGGAGAGGGAGAGGGAGAGGGAGGGAGAGGAGAGGGAGAGGGAGAGGGAGGGAGAGGGAGAGGGAGAGGGAAGAGGGAGAGGAGAGGGAGAGGAGAGGAAGAGAGAGAGAGAGGGAGAGGGAGAGGGAGAGGGAGAGGGAGAGGGAGAGGGAGAGGGAGAGGGAGAAGGGAGAGAGAGAGGGAGAGGGAGGGAGAGGGAGAGGGAGAGAGAGAGAGAGAGAGAGAGAGAGAGAGAGAGAGAGAGAGAGAGAGAGAGAGAGAGAGAGAGAGAGAGAGAGAGAGAGAGAGAGAGAGGGATATATACATATATATATATATATATATATTATATATATATCTATCTATCTATATCTATATTATCTATATATATATTATATATATATATATATATATATATATATATATATATATCGCCTATATATATATATATATATATATATATATATATATATATATATATATATATGTATATATATATATATGGAATAGAGATGCTATATATAAGCATTGGGGTGTTTCTAAATTTGTTAAGTAGGACCCCAATTCTGTCCATGTCGCAAAGCCACACTTCAATCGCGCGTCAAAATTTGAATCGCGCATTTCGGAACCTCAACAAAAGCAAAACATCCCATTTCACTGTATAGCGCACAGCCAGTGTACACCCCCAGACCCCGTGAAGCTCCTTGGCAACCCATAGGAGGAAGCGCTGTCGTGGAGGAAGAGAGAGGCAGAGACAAAGGAGAACGGGCAATATTTATCTCACCTCGCCCACCCGTCCTCCTGAAGAAGCAGTAAGTCAGGACAAGGAAGACACGATACAAAGTTCTCATGCAAATTTATGCATGACTGGCTGCCCGTTTGTGTACTGTGAGAGTACCTTTGACGTCAGAGTTAAAAACCGCCTTTCTTTGGGTTGGTTAAGAGACGTCTTGACTTCAATTAGTGGCTTCAGATTTGTGCCTCTTCCTATTCTAAGAGTTTTACTTCATCGCAATTTTCCAATTTTGGAATGAGAAAATAATACGAAAGAGATAAGGAGAGAGAGAGAGAGAGAGAGAGAGAGAGAGAGAGAGAGAGAGAGAGAGAGAGAGAGAGAGAGAGAGAGAGAGAGAGAAAGTGAGTAAGAATCAGTATGAGAATGAGAGGGAGAGTCAGTGTTAGAGTGAAATTGAGTGAGAGTGAGTGAGCGAGTGGGCAAATGAGTGAGCGAGTGAATGTGTAAGTGAGTGAGAGAGAGAGAGAGAGAGAGAGAGAGAGAGAGAGAGAGAGAGAGAGAGAGAGAGAGAGAGAGAGAGAGAGAGAGAGAGAGAGAGAGAGAGAGAGAATTGAGAAGGATTGAGGGAGCGAGGTGATGCGGGAGGGAGGAAGGTAGGGAAGGGGGAGGGAAAGAAGGAGAGAGAAAGAGGGAGGCAGGGAGGGAAGATTGGGAGGAGAGAGGATGGAAGGAAAGAGAGGGAGGGAGAGAGAGAGAGAGAGAGAGAGAGGAGAGAGAGAGAGAGAGAGAGAGAGAGAGAGAGAGAGAGAGAGAGAGAGAGAGAGAGAGAGAGAGAGAGAAAGAAAGAAAGAAAGAAAGAAAAGAAAGACAGAGAGAAAGAAAGAAAGAGAGTGGGAATGAAAGAGGGACAGACCGACAGGCAGAGACAGACAAAGATAAAGCGTAAGGAATAATGAAGATATTTTTACGCTATTTACTCCAAGGTCACACGAATGACATAAAAAGACAAAATATTCAAAGAAAAAAAGAGAAAAAAAAGTCCAAACATCAGGCCTTTGCCATCAGCTTTCCCCGCCCTCCCCCTCAACCCCCTCTTCAGCCACCCCCCCCACCTTCTCACCCCGCCCCCACATTCCTCAGTCGTCCACATGTCCGCCCTCCCGCCCATAACCTCCCCCATCGTGGGCGTTTCTGAGACGATGAGACCAGTAGACGGTCTGCTCTCGCTCGCAGCCCAGGCAGCCTCGTTTTGATGAAGGGGAATTTTTTCGTTGACTTTTCTCGAGTGGCTTTAAGTGTGGCACGCGGTCTGCGGGGCGGCCAGGATACACTTGTGGCGACGCACGCACGCACGAAAACACACGCACACACACACAACACACACACACACGCACACGGGCACACACACATACACACACACACACACACACAGCGCGCGCGCGCGCACGTAGTATATACTTATACGTGAAAAAGTGTAAACATATACAGGCACGTATACACGTATATGCATAATCTCTCTCTCTCTCTCTCTCTCTCTCTTCTCTCACTCTTGTCCCTCCTCTTTCTCTTCTTCTCTCTCTTTCTTACTCTCGCAGCCGCCCACTCTTTCTCTCTAACACGCCCACGGGTTCACGCCTCCCCGTTCTCAGCCAAGCCAAACAGCGCTCCTGCTTAACAAACAAACACGCAAAATACACCGACAGAGGCCAGTATCTTGGGGTTACAAGCTATAAACACACACATCATTTGTTATAATAAACCTTGTTGCTGGCAATCACAGCTGGCTCTTTTTTCTCCCTCCCTCTCTTTCTCATTTATCAACCTCTTTCTCGTCTCCTTTTTCTTCAAGACTTCCTCATCCACTTACCTTCGTTCTTTACTTTCTTCTCTCCCTTCTTAAGGCTCTAACTTGAATAAGCTTGACCTCGAATACAAATTTGCAGGAGGTTCTTAGCGTAACTAATGCAGGTGTTTGTATTGATTAACTGCCTAACGTAACCAACTTATTAACTTTTCTTCCTATCTTCCCTTACTTCATAACCTATTCTTCTGCCAGTCTTATCCCTTTTCTCTCTCTCCATATCCTCTTTACCAACTCATTTTTCTCTCCCTTTTAACCTTCATTTCTTGCACTTCTCCCCCTCCCTACTTTTTTTTTGTCCTCCCTTCCATCCTTTTTGTTCCTCCCTATTTTTTCCTCTTCTCCGTAACAATGTCCCTCTCTTTGTCTCGCTGTCGCCTCCGCTGTAATTGAGTAATTTTTGTCTCGTTGGCGAGAAAAAGTATTTGGTGTGAGTGGTTTGTTGGTTGAACCCTTGACAGTAGTATAATGTGGACACACACACACACACACACACACACACCGCAGACAGAGAGAAAGTGAGAGAGAGAAAAAATAAGATATATATATATATATATATATATATATATATTATATATATATATATATATATATATATAGAGAGAGAGAGAGAGAAGAGAGAGAGAGAGAGAGAGAGAGAGTGGGGGCGAGAGAGAGAAATTCTTTATCATTATCAGCATACGAATACTATTATCCTTTAATATCTGGTAAGCAACAACTTTCATCTCCTAGCTTCTCTGCCAATGCAACGTTAATAACAATAAAGTTTTATTACTTCTTACAACATATCATCGTAGAGAATCTAATGGACAACGTACTTTAATCGACAACTTTAATGATAACGTAAAGAATCTAACAGATAACGTAATTTCCAGTATGCAGAGATTATATTCGAATGCCCTTACGAGCAAGAACTCAGCAGATTCGGTCACCGGTTTTGGGCATCGCTTTGGCACCGCTGGAGTGACTGTGGGCGCTGCGTGACGTCTCTGCACCTTCGTCCATTTGTAATCCCCCCCCCCTATCCGTGCCTATGTACGTTTGTGGCTTTGTCTTTCTACCCTCATTTAAAAAATCTAAACTGGGTAGTTTGTTATGATTACATGTTCATCAACAGCAATAATAAATTAGGATAATGATAATGCAGTAGAAAAATCGATGAATCTTTATATTTTTTTTTCTCTCTTCCTCCCCATCTCTCTCCCCTCTCTATCCCTATCTACCATCTCTCCCCCTCCCTCCTCCTCTCTCTCTCTCTTCTCTCTCTCTCGCCCGTTCCTCCTTCCTCTCTCTTATTATCTTACCCTTTTCTGCCTCGGAGTCGCAAGGCCGAAATGGAAAAACCAATAAGGTTTGGAAATATCATCAAAATATCCGGAGAGCAGATTCAAAGAAACCCTTATCGCATTTCGTGATTAATTGAGCTTCGGGTTTGTAATGTTTATATAAACAATGGGATGTTTTTATTAGTCATTGGCGGCAGGTGGGTAAGGCGGCTTACGTGCGAGAACGAGAGAGAGCAGAGGTTAAAAGGGGTGGGAAGGTGAAGGTAGAGAAGAGGATGGATAAACAGATAAATCGAACGAGATAGTTTGGTGGAAAGATAGAGAGGCAGATAGGCAGTCAGAGAAGAAGAGAAAGAGGGAAGAAATAATGTAAAGAATGAAGCCAAGAGATCGCTGTGTTACTAGTCTGAAGGAGAGGAAGATAACCCAAAGGGAATGATTAGCACGAGCCAAACGGCCAGGCAACCCTCTCCCGCGGGCGAGGACCCCACCGCCAGCCTTACCTTGAGTTTGTCGATCTCGTCCTCGAGCTGCGTGTCCACGGAGATCATCTTCTTGAGCGCCTCCTCCACGAAGGTCATGCGCCCGTACAGCTGCGAGTGGTCCTTCTTCTGCATGAGGGCGTCGAAAATCCTCCAGAGGGCGCGCGTGATGATGCGATGCCCTTCGCTGATGCCCATGTTGTGCGAGGGCGCCGCGCCGTAGCGCCGCACGTCGTTGCGGATGGAGCTGCCGTAGCGCTTCCCGCCGTGGCGTCCGTTCGTGGGCGGCACGGACGCCACCTCGTTGTGCACCGCCACGGGCCTCTCGGGGTCCTTCAGCCCCTCCGCGAGCGCCAGCAGCGCGGTCAGCGTGAGGGCGCACGCGCACAGCACGTTGGCGAGACGCATCCTTGGTGTCTTCCGGGAAGGGACGAGGCGGTGCGAAGGCTGTCCTTGGGGGCGGTCTGTCGAACCTGCGGGCGGGAGGCGGGGGTTCGGTTCGTTATTTTTTTCATTCATTTATTGCTGTTATTATGCTGTCCATTAGTATTATTCCTATCAAAACCCTTAACTTATCATCATTACCACCGTCACTATCAATGATTTCATGATGACTGTCATTCTCAATTATGGCTTTAGTGATTAGTAATGGGCGTCTAACTCCCTGTTCTGGCGCTGCGTGAAGCAAGGCTTTTCTTTGCACAAAACCTCAGGGCTGATGACAGGAGGAAATACTTTAATGATAAATGCTGCGAGGCAGAACTGATCTGTATCAAAACCAACACACGGTTTGCTTTGATAACAGTGAGCATAATAGTGATTCATAATGGTGCTGAGCTGATAATGATCAAGCAAAGCGAATACAAAGAGAAAAAACGGAACCAAAAAGAATGAAAGAGAGAGAGAGAGAGAGAGAGAGAGAGAGAGAGAGAGAGAGAGAGAGAGAGAGAGAGAGAGAGAGAGAGAGAGAGAGAGAGAGAGAGAGAGAGAATGCAAAAAAAAATGAGCAAAACCAAAATAAACGAAAGGCAAGCCAGCGCACGCACACACCAGTGGACACGAACAGTTTAAGCCGCGATGAACTTAAACCACTGGAGTAAGACGATGCATTCATGTTGTAAAAAAAAAAAGAAAACAAGGAGGAAGGAGAGAGAGAGAGAGAGAGGGAGAGAGGAGGAGAGAGGAGGGAGGGAGAGAGGGAAGGAGGGAGGGAGAGAGGGAGGAGGGAGGGAGAGGGAGGGAGAGAGGGAAGGAGGGAAGGAGGAGAGGGAGGGAGGAGGAGAGGAGGAGGAGAGGAGGAGGAGGAGGAGGAGAAGGAGGAGGAAGGAGGAGGAGGAGGAGAGAGGAGAGAGAGAGAGGAGAGAGAGAGAGAGAGAGAGAGAGAGAGAGAGAGAGAGAGAGAGAGAGAGAGAGAGAGAGAGAGAGAGAGAGAAGAGAGAAAGAGAAAGAGAAAGAGAAAGAGAAAAAGAGAGAAAGATAGAAAAATAGACAAAAAATAGACAGAAAACAAGCCAAAAATAAAGGAAAGAATCACGCACATAAGCAGAAACAGACGATGAAGAAACTACGCAAATAAACGCAGAAATCGGCATAGAGAGAGACCCAAGACCGCCATCGGCCCGACAACATGACAGACTGCGCCGGAGAGTCAGGCCGAGGAGCGCCAGACATAAAGACGCCACTCAGGGAAGGCATAAAAGCGAGGGCAGAGGGGAAGAAGAAGAAGAAGAAGAAGGAAAGGAGAAGAAGTTGAAGAAGAAGAAGAAGAAGAAGAAGAAGAAGAAGAAAAAGAGAAGAGAAGAAGAGGATGAGGTGGAGGAGGGGGTAGAGGAGTAGCAGGAGAAGAAGAGGAGGAGGAGAAGGAGGAGATAGAGGGGAGGAGGAGGTGAACGAGAAGGAGGAGGTGGTCGTGTAGGAGGAGGTTGAGGAGGAGGAGGAGGAGGGGGAGGAGGAGGAGCAGGAGAAGAAGAAGAAGAAGAAGAAAGAAAAGGGGAGGAGGTGGAGGAGAACAAGAAGGAGGAGCAGGAGGTGGAGGAGAACGAGAAGGAGGAGGAGGTGAAGGTGTAGAGGAAGAAGAAGAAGAAGAAGAAGAGGAAGAAGAGGAGGAAGAAGAGAAAGAGGAGGAGGAGGAAGGAGAAAAAGAGGAAGAGCAAGAAGAATAAGATGATGATGATAAAGAAAAAGAAGGGGGAAGAGGACAAGGAGAAAGAGTGAGAAGGAAAAGAAGAAAATATAGACCAAGATAAAGACGAAGACGCAGACGAAGATGATGAAGAAGACGAGGACGAAGACAAAGAAGATGATGAAGAAGACGAGGACGAAGACAAAGAAGATGATGAAGAAGAAAATGATGATGATGAAAATAAGAAGAATAAAGAATGAGAAGAAGACGAGTGAAAGAGAGAAAGGGACGATACAAACTCACAAGGCATGAAGTGTGTATAAAAAAAAAAAAAAAAAAAAAAAAAAAAAAAAAAAAGAATGAAAAGATGAAGAGAGAAGATGAAGAAGTAGAAAGAAGGGCGGAGAATAATAATAAGAAATAAAACAGGACGAAGAAGAAGAAGAAGAAGGAGGAGGAGGCAAAGTTATTCATCGTCGACAGCAAAGTCATATAGTGATCCCGTTGGAAAAATGAAGAAAGAAATAAGATGCGGGTTAACTATTATTTAGAAATCTGTGTTCCTTGCTTTATTGTCCCTTCCTCCTTCCCTTCTTTATTGCCTCTTCTTCCTCCCCTTCTTTATTGTCCCTTCCTACTCCCCTTCTTCATTCTCCCTTCCTCCTCCCCTTCTTCAATGTCTTTTCATCCTCCCCTTTTTTTTATTATCCCTTCCTACTCCCCTTCTTCATCATTCCTTCCTCCTCTCCTTATTCATTGCCCTTTCCTCCTCCCCTTCTGCATTATTTATTGTCCCTTCCTCCTCCCCTTCTCTTTATCTCCTCCTTCGCGTCTTCACTCCCCCTATCCTCACTAGTTTAGCGAATCCAAGATGACGCATGCGGAGTAAACCATCTGGAGGCGTTTGTGCGTCACTTTACGATCATGACGCCAAAGGAACGAGGCTACACACGAAGCTGGCGGTCTGCGTGTATGTGTGTGTACGTAAGACCGTGTACGCGCGCTCGTGTACACTCTCAAGAACACCCAGTAGGTAGAAAAAAGCGAGCCTACCCTCCCACAAGCACGCATTGAATTTATCATCTCTTTCTTTAATTTTATGGGATCCATTGCTCCTTGGTCTGACTGGCAGAGACTGCAGTGTTTGTATGACATTCGGCGCTATTGGGTAACGAGCGCAACAGAGAGAGATAAAAGTTGCTTTATCAGATACTCCTCGAGAGGGCAACAGAGACTGTCCTCATGGATGGTACTTTGATACCAAGTATATCGGCTTTTAAATTGGTACTTATTGGTTACTCTTGGAGTGCTTGTGCTCTCAACTTCTTCTTCTTCGAGAAAGGGAGAGAGAGAGGCAGAAAGAGAGAGAAAGAGGGAGAAAGAGAGAGAAAGGGAGAAAGAGAGAGAAGAGGGAGAGGAAGAGTGAGAAGAGAGAGAGAGAGAAAGAGAGAGAAAGAGGGAGAAAGAGAGAGAAAGAGGGAGAAAGAGAGAGAAAGAGGGAGAAAGAGAGAGAAAGAGGGAGAAAGAGAGAGAACGAGGAAGAAAGAGAGAGAACGAGGGAGAAAGAGGGAGAAAGAGAGAGAGAGAGAGAGAGAGAGAGAGAGAGAGAGAGAGAGAGAGAGAGAGAGAGAGAGAGAGAGAGAGAGAGAGAGAGAGAGAGAGAGAGAGAGAGAGAGAGAGAGAGAGAGAGAGAGAGAGAGAGAGAGAGAGAGAGAGAGAGAGAGAGAGAGAGAGAGAGAGAGAGAGAGAGAGAGAGAGAGAGATGAATGCTGATACACACGGAAAGAATGCGACTACTTGGATGCAATCTTATGCGAACGCCGTACTCTCCCTCTCTCGTCGCAGCGTTCTTATATGTTTTGATTTATGGCTGCGTGACCAAGAGCTAAATATCATTTTCTTTATGCTCTTCTCTTTTTTGCGTTACATTAAGCAGAATCGCGACAGAAGGGTCAATGACTGAAATTTCTCTCGTTTTCATGCAGTTGACTCCTTGTGCATTTTTTTTTATACTGCACACGCGATGTTTCGTCCAATATTGGAACAATATGGTAGTTAACAATTAAACATGAAATTAAAGTATGGCACAGAAAGCGGGAGGGAGTGAATGAGTCAGAAAGATAAGTAGATAGTTAGATAAATAAATAGATAGATAAAGAGAAAGAGAGGAGAGAGAGAGAGAGAGAGAAGAGAGAGAGAGAGAGAGAGAGAGAGAGAGAGAGAGAGAGAGAGAGGGAGGGAGGAGGGAGGGAGGGAGGGAGGGAGGGAGGAGGAGAGAGAGAGAAGAGAGAGAGAGAGAGAGAGAGAGGAGAGAGAGAGAGAGAGAGAGAGAGAGAGAGAGAGAGAGAGAGAGAGAGAGAGAGAAGAGAGAGAGAGAGAGAGAGAGAGAGAGAGAGAGAGAGAGAGAGAGAGAGAGAGAGAGAGAGAGAGAGAGAGAGAGAGAGAGAGAGAGAGAGAGAGAGAGAGAGAGAGAGAGAGAGGAGAGAGAGAGAGAGAGAGAGAGAGAGAGAGAAAGAAAGAAAGAAAGAAAGAAAGAAAGAAAGAAAGAAAGAAAGAGAAACAAAGAGTGACAGACAGACAGACATAGACAAATATAATGAATATAGAAAGAAACAAGAATGGGAAACAGACACTGAAACTGAGAAACAAAAACAAAGACAAATATAAAACAAAGAGATAGAGAAAAAGTAGAGGACAGAGAATAGAATGGGGAACAAACACCGAAATGGAGACCAAAAAGAAAAGAAAAAAAAGAAAAAAGAAAATAAAGCAAAGCAAAAATAAGAGAGAGAAGAGAGAGAGAGAAGAGAGAGAGAGAGAGAGAGAGAGAGAGAGAGAGAGAGAGAGAGAGAGAGAGAGAGAGAGAGAGAGAGAGAGAGAGAGAGAGGAGAGAGAGAGAGAGAGAGAGAGAGAGAGAGAGAGAGAGAGAGAGAGAGAGAGAGAGAGAGAGAGAGAGAGAGAGAGAGAGAGAGAGAGACAGAAGACAGACGGAAAAGAAAAAGAAAAGTCCCATCAGAGCTGCAAGATCCAGCCGAGGAAATCTCTCATTTACGAATCAAGTTCCATTGAAGTGCAGACAACACTTCGCATCTTTCCTCTCCGCTTCTCTTGACGCGCATGTCAGAAGTATGAAGCGTGACACACTAACAGCACAGGCTTGATTAGTGCCTGCGTTTCGTCGGGAGATGTAGCACAGAAGCGAAAGCATTCATGCCACTCAGTAAAAAGGGAAAAAATCCGTTTCGCGTTGAAGTTGTGGTGACTGCGATGACCGCGATAGGGATGGTGACTGTGAGGAAGATGATGATGATAGTGATGATGACGGAGGTGACAATGATCATGATTATGTGC